TTTAAATAAGTAAAAATCAGGTGAATGTTAGTAAGGAGAGGATCTTGCAAACAAAGCCCCTATGCATTAGATAACTCTTTAAGGGGGTGTTTGGTTCACATAATTAAGGTATAAAGTACGGGTTTAGAATTGTTTAAACCCATACCTTATGTTTGTTTTATGATTTTAAGAGTTTCAAACCCATATCTCAAACCCCCAAGGTATGGGGTTTATAAACCTTGGGGGAGGTGGGTTTGACTCATTCCCATACTTTTAGGTATCAGATAAAAGGAAAAAATTGCATTCCATAAGCATACCAAACATTATACCACTATGGTTTCATTCCTGATTCCAACCCCATACTAGTTTGTGAACCAAACGCCCCCTAATATATTTCCTAATATGATATTAATTTGAGAATATATGTCAAAATTATATTTGATCGGTGTAATTAAGTAATTATTTCTACTTTTAATTATCGTATTCAACGTGTGTTCATTAACTTTTATAATACATTTTACAAGTAAGTGATAACATTTGTCATAGATTAAAGGTTTGATACATTTATAGGATTAGAAACAAAATAATATCACCATTTACCATTCACAATTCAAACAATCAAACCTATGAAATCCATTTTTACACATTTTCTCTTTCTCTTTTTCTCTCTCCTACTTTGCAAAACCCTCCCAAAAATCACAACCCCCTTCTTCTTCTTCTTCTCCAACTCCATTTTCTCTCTCCTCCTCCTTGTTCAAATCCTACCATGTCCAGCAACAAAGAAGAACACCCTTTAAGCTTCTCAAACCCATCTTCTTCTTCTCCAATCACACCCTCTGAAGGTGACAACTCCTCCAGTTATCTCCTCGAACCTCAGATTGGCAGCGCTTCTAACAGCTTCCAAAGCGACAGTATTCTCTACGATTCCGCCGGAACTAGCACTTGTGACCCTGATTTTGGCTTCTTTAGGCCTGATTTCCGCCAAAATACTCTTCTGGGTAGTGTTCAATTCTATGATCGCCATGTTTTTCTTTGTTATAAGAACCCTCGAAATTGGCCCCCTCGTATTGAAGCTGCTGAGTTTGATCGATTGCCTAGGCTTCTTTCTGCTGCTTTGGCTGCTCGTAAATCAGATATGAACAAAGAGGTTGTCAATTTTATTTATATTTTTATTTCTTGATTTGGGTTTTTGTTCTTTTCAATTGGGTTTGTGTTCTTTTTGTTGTTGATTTATCTATTGTTGTTAAAAGATTGATTGGTAATGTGGGATTTTTTTTTGGTAGAAGTTGATTAGTAGTATCGTGAGTATGTTTTTTGATTAGTAAATGAAATGGGGTTACTTTGTGAAATTTAGAAGGGGGTGAGATTTTTGAAGTATCTGATGAATGGTATTGAATATTAATTAAATAACTGCAATGGTGTGCTTTGGCTGGTTGTTTTGAATTCATTTGGTTTGGGTATGCTTTTTTATTTCCTGTTTCGCACTCGATTCGTGCTCCTGTTTGTTTGTTTCTAAGTTTGTCATTGTTCTGCAAAGACAGTTGATGAAATCTATGATCAGAAGTTAAGTTTTTGATGTAGTAATTGTGATTTGGCTAGTTACATTCATTCATTTTGCTTTGGGTATGTAATTCATTCGGGTTGTTGAACTAGTGTTGGGGTTGCATTATTTATTGGTTATGATTATTGTAGGACAGTTGATTTTGGTTAAATTCTGAGATATTTGGTGAGTAATGAAATACTGAAAGATTTTTTCCTTAGTTCTGAAACTGTTGTCAAATTTGTATTGCTTGGTCAGTCGGTCTAATCACTTAGTTGTTCCGAACTCATTATGATCTTTTCTTATTTTGTTGATTGGGTCTATCAGATGGATTGACTACTAAATGCAAGCTTAATTATACTTCCAAGTGGTTGTAATGCAAAATGTAGGTTTCTGGTGTTTTGTGGTCAGGTGTTTCTATTATTGTGGGGAATTTTTTTTTTTGCCCCTTCTCTCCCTCTTTCAAACTTAGTCTGAATGATTTTATAAATTGTTATAGATACGGCATATATATTTGAGGACTACTTCTTATTAACAGATTTTGAAGTAAACTTTAATAAGGCAGCTTTGTAAACATTGTAACCATATCCGTTCAGGTGATGCTATCTTTGTGGCATTTATTTATGTATCTGTTTTCTGGATTTTACAACTTCATATGCCCTTTTTTGGTCAGGAAGATATAGTTAATGCATTTATAAACAGACACGAATATGGGCTTGATTGAGTCGTCGTTGCTTTTCAGAGATACATGAATTATATATTGCTCATGAGTTGATGCTTGCATGTTATATTATTCATCTAGGATCACACCAGGGTGAAATTCAACTTGATTTTCCATGCCTTCATAATTTTCCCAAACATTGTCATCAACAACTAGAGTGGAATGTACTTTCTGCACTATGCACTTGATTGTTGTCTTAACTCAGCAGCCAGCACATTTATCAGTGAGTCATTGCTGGAGTACAAGTCTAATTACTTGTATATGTTTTGGGTTTTTTTTTGTTTTTTATTTTTATTTTTTGGGACAAGACAAGGTTGATTATTCTCTCTGTGAGTTAGTGGTAATGTTTATTGGAAATAGCCCCTAGTCATGCTGACTGCTGAGCATTAGTTTAATGAGCTTGTTTTCTTACCTCATCTATTTATTTTCTTGCATCCTGAAGACCCGTCTAACAATCTGTGAGGGACGTGATGGAACTGAAACATCAAATGGAGACGTATTAATCTTCCCAGACATGATCAGATACAGGTTCCCAAACCTTTTGATGTTTATTTCTTGTATTGTTTATATATTGCCTGTCTGCATGCTTCTAGTCTTTTGTGGTGGCTTGTTTGCTATGGCACTCATAACCTTGGGCTAAAATGCAGGAGATTGACACATTTTGATGTCGACACTTTTGTCGAAGAAGTTCTAATTAAAGATGGTGAATGGATTCCTGGAAACCCGGAGAAGCTGAAAGGCTTTTACATTTTTGTATGTTGTCATGGGAGCCGAGATCGTCGTTGCGGTGTGTGTGGACCTCCGTTGGTTGCTAGATTCAAGGAAGAGGTAGATTTACATGGTCTTCAAGGAAAAGTCTCCATTGGCCCATGCTCTCATGTAGGTGGTCACAAATATGCTGGAAATGTAATAATATTTGGATCTGGGGTTGACGGGGAAGTCACTGGGCACTGGTAAGGAGTTTATGTTTTCTGGATGCCTCCCTTTCAATATTTTGAGAGTAGTGCTTGACTTATAGATATTTGAGTTGCTCCAATAGTAATTCTAGCTACTTTATGCAGGTATGGATATGTTACACCAGATGATGTTCCTAATTTGCTTGAACAACATGTTTTGAAGGGAGAAATCGTAGAGTGGCTGTGGAGGTGAGTTATCTATTTGTTCACCTCCTTAACACTTTTTATTCTAGAACTTCTAGGTAGTGTGCATTAGGTAGTGTGAATTTTAGGTTAGGTTATGGTATTGTCATTTTCAAACATGTAGCTGCACACTTTTAACATAACTTCAGTGGGACATGGGGCTTAGGCGATGTGAATCTGGAACCTTGACTAATTGGTGTTATAAGCAGGATTTAAAAAATATAAAAGCGGTTGTAATAAGTTTGATTCTTATCTACTTCAGGGGTCAAATGGGTTTATCTGAGGATGATCAGCAAAAGGCCCAAGAGTTGAGGCTCCAAAACAAAGAAGGAAACCATTCAGGCAATAATAGACTGCTCTCTTCTGAGCTGCCGGAGTCTCCGTCAGGTGTATCTCATTTTGGGTCCAACGGATGTTGCCAGGCAAATGGAAATGCTGCATGCTGTCAATATCCCACCTCAGTGGGAAAGGAGGATGATTTTGTTATTCATGAAGGAGAAGTAAAAGTAGCCAATGGGAAGAAGGGCAAAAAACTATTGCGAAATAACAGCTACAATGGGCTTGGGAAGCGGAAGGTATGTGCCATGCCTTCATGGTTTGAGAGCTGGGAGCGTGAAGATACATACGCAGCCCTTGCAGTTGTTTGTGCTGCTGTTTCAGTTGGTATCGCATATAGCTGCTACAAGCAACTGTAAACCCTGTGTGCCTGGCTTTATGTTGTAATGTTAGTAGTGGTCTACTTGATATTTTTAGCAGTTGAATGCATTATGCATAGAGGAGAATGCAATGTGAATGTGCAGTGGCATTTTTCTCTTCTGCAATCAGATATGAAGATTTGAAATGTAAATGGATTATAATCTGTAAATATGTGTTTCTTATTGATTTATTAATGGAATATGATTTTTAATTCAAATTAGTTTGGAAAACGAAGTTACAAAGATGCTATCTGCACTCATTTATACCTCCTGTTTTACAGTTTGATAATTATCTGAACTTGGTGTGTTTAATCAAAATCAGATCGGCTTATTGGGTTCTTTCTAATCAATACTTTAGTGCCAAAATCTATTTTAAACATAATATGACATGTATAATTTGAAAGTTAAACAAGTAGATATAATTTTGTTACTAGTTATACTTGTATTCTTTTGAGAGATGTTGGCAGCCAAAGATAAGACCAGATTGACGCTTGCTAAATTTTTAATCTTGTCCAATTCTAGCATTGTTTTACAGTGAAATTGCAGAGAAGTGCACATCTTTATTCATGTCCAAAAAGTATCAACGAAACATTCAACAACCATGGTCTTCCATCCCTTGAAAAACTCTTTCTCCAGCCTGTCGTCGAGGCAACTGCCTTATGCACTCAACAAGACGCCTTACACAGTTGACAAGAGGTCTAACTCTTAGTGAAAGACAACCAATCTGCTCAATCACACCTGCTGCAATTGCTACAATGGTTACAGGTTCCATGATACAAAGATGTTTTGTTAATTTGTAATATTGTGCTGCAAATTTTGTGATTTTATAAAGTTGCATTGATGTTACAACAAGGTAGGTTTTTAGTATTATAAATGCTTTCTTCAAACGCTTATTAACTTAAATAGGCTTGCAGTTTCATACTCCATAATAGATGATCAACTTTGGACATTATTTCAAAATTGCAACATGAAATCCTAAATAAGGAGTTATTAGATTACAGGCTACAACAATATACGTTGATAGATAACAATAACCGCAGGGAACATTCTCGAACATATATAATCATTTATCAGGTGGCTAAAAGAAATTATACAAGATATTATGATATTTGTGAATATGACCTTCAGTCCTGCCTAAGATATATAAGTAGAGGTACAACATCCGCTAAGGTGGTGTTTTCATGCCTCAACCACTTCCAACATGCCTGCATTGAGGTAATCCAAAGCATCGGTAATACATAATCGAAGATGAAAGTATGCTCTTCAAGGACTAAAATCTGTCATGAAGTGATTCTTGGCCCCAAGCATTGGTGTCTAGCAGATTGCGGACCAAAGGGTGAAAACCCTTTCTGGTATTTTTCTATATCAGTTAATTTTGATGTCTAGATCACTTATCTGTTTCGAGAGCGATCTTACAAGCCCATTCTGATCCTTCTGGTCTTCCAATCGATGAAATTCTGATTCTATGGTTTTAGCAATTTTGGCATCGTCGGGATCAGGCTCAGGGAACGCCACATGGAAGGACCCTTGTTGTTTCAAGGGTGCTGTTGGAGCAGCTTGCTCCCTGACATAGTTATATAGTTCTTGATGGAAGGGGTGATCAAAGGAGAAACAATTATCATTCATCCCATTTCTAGAGTGTCGAGAAGACCCAGACCCTTCTCTCTTACAAAAATGTGGGAGACATGCATAATCCATAATCTGAAAACAGGTTGCATTTCACAAATTAGTCAGCCCATCATGATGTATTTAGACAACAAAGGTATCCAAATATTTCACAAAGTAGGAAGAGGGAAGGGAAAAGATTTTTTTTTTTTTTTTTACTATATTGAAAAGTGAATCAGATCCTCCATTTCCCTTCCCTTCTTTTCCGCACATTCATATCAAAACAAGGGAAAATTGATCCATTACTTTCCCTTTCCTTCCTCTTATAACACTTTCATGAGTTTCATCCAACACATTATAAAGGTATCCACAGTGAAATACAGAAGGGTGTTTCTGTGCCACAGTTTTGGCAAGAACATGTTAAGAGCATATACAAGGAAAAAATTATTAAGAATAAAACTATAGTCTTGATAAGGTATCTATGTCAATAAATGAAATGAAAGGAAGAGAAAAAAATAACTACCCGTGGCATTTTTTTTTCCTATCCTTCCCGAATTGGCGAATTCCTCAAATTTTTGAGAGAAAAGGAAAGCGGAGATTTCAAGTTTCTATTTTCAATTTCCTCTTTTTCTTACCAATACCCATCTACTTGTATAATTCTATACTTTGAAGCCAAAAATGGTAAACTCATTTATTCCATTTCCCTTCCTTTCCTTTGCATCCAAATCCCGATACAAAACAAGACATAAGTCCTATAATCAAAATTATTATGCATCAATGCTTTGTCATTTGATCTTTCACTCTATAGCACTAATGTTTAACTCCACTTAAAACACTAAATATCCACCTAAGTACAGTAGTCTATTAAAGTATACTAGAAAAATCCCAAAAATATCCAGGTCAAATTGTATTGGACAAAAGGGTCTGACAATAATCATTTTATCTACCTGCTGAATACCCATCGAAAGTTAGTAGTTAAGATGGATCACAATAAAAGAGTGAACACTAAACAGGTGAAACTCTACAGCTAGAAGGAATTCAATCAGCCGACAAAATAACCTATCAGTCTACCCCCTCCCTTCTCATAACTCTTCTCAAATAGGATTTTCCTCTATAATTAGAAACCATGTTTTTCTGAACCTGACATTTCCAAGAATATGTGAATATAGTATATAGTAAATCATGTGCAGATATCAAGAATATAAATCTATCTGATCAAAGGAATAGTGGCTTCATACATTCATGCCAGATAACATATTGCAGTACTTTAGGATTTCAATGGCTCAGTAAATCATGCAACTAGGATTTTGGGAAAAGAAAAATGAAGATTGAGAACATGAATACTAAATCGATGATCTAAGAAGCAATATTACTCCGCACTAAAGGAAAAAAGTTTACCTTCAGTAACTCGTCCCTGCCACATCCTTGAAGAACCTGAATTTTCTTCCGAGTCCTTTCTTGCAGAAGAGGCCTAACAACCTGTTGACTTGCCATTAGAGGTGGACCACCTTTGATAGCATCTACTTTAAGTGGAAAGAATTAAATAAGAGGCAAACCTTCCAACATGCTGAGAATATATATGGTGCATTTACGATGTAATAAGTATCAGTTTTCTCTGGATAGTTCAAGTCGTCGATAGTTGTTATTACAGTCAGCAGCTGCAAATGAACAGAAGCAATAAAATGAGTGTCGGTCGCCATATTTAAGGTAAGATACAATCAGTTCAACATTTTGTATAAAGTAAAGAAGAAGGTAACAAAATGAATAGAGAACCGTAAAGAACAGATTTGAAGAAAGAGAAAACAGGAAAAGATGGAATGGAACAAAAAGGGCAGGTGTGGGGGACTTGGGAGGGTATATTATTCTTTATACTGAAGATGAGATTCCGAGGATATGTTCCCATCGCCAATTAATGGCATAGAATCTATGTAGCTGTTCCCACCAATTTGGACTAAAGTTGGTAAAGGTATAGTGAAGTGTTGAAATGATGAGATTCCAAGTGAAGTGAAGCAACTTCCAACCAAAACTAAGGACAAGGTCTAGACAAATTTTTTTACGTCAAATGTGTAGTCCGATATCAAATCAAAGGAACCAATCAAGTGGAAAGACAATTGATATTTTATCCACACTCTCAACTTACAAAGAGTCCAACAGTGACTAACTTGGGTCTTAGTTTAAGCCAAAAGCTAATTACATAATTAAGTAAATTAAAGCTTTGATCCAAAGTAATATGGAAAAATAGTCAAATAATGATAAGGAGCAACAAATGCAGGAATGTTTGGAAAGTGTTTAAAGCCCCTATAGCCAAATTATTAGTCTTCTCCAGCTCCGATCATTTCACAATTTTCTCCTCTACATAACTTACAGGATATTAATGGGACAATGAAAGAATTGAGTAGAGAACCATTAATGGTTTAAAAAGATACCTTTATTTGATTAAGGGCGGATAATTTTAAGCCAGTCATATCAAGCACCTTGATGCAGCTACTAATCAATCGTCCACACTTCTGTGACGCCATTGGCTGCCGAACACAAATCAAAAGTCCTTTAGATATAGAAAAACACATATGTGCTCCACATGAATACACCCATACAGACATCTATTCATACTCAAATACTCACCATTACAACACGGTCTCTGTATTCATTCATTTGGATGTGTGACTGCACGTAGTAGTGGACCTATAGAAAGAAATGTGATGCAAATAAGAAATAATTATAGTATTTATATACAAGAGTAACAAAGTATAGAAGTTAAAAGCAGAGAGATCCTTTTAAGCCAAGCAATATGTTTTGAACAATCACAACACTACACCTTTTTTGGCCAAACAGACAAGATTTTTCCCTACCATTCCAAGCAGCATGCCATGGCAAGAAACAGAGAACCTACCAGGAATACCTAATCTTACAATCAATCATCAGTAATTTAGAACAGTTTAGTGAAGCTGCAAAGCAGAAAACTGCCGGACTGCCCGTGGAACATCTTGTGTTTCTGATCTCAGTGACTAATAAGTCAGTTCAACTATCTCAATGACTCTGCCAGGGCAAACAGAGAGCTTATCCAGAACATTAAAATAGCCAAAGTCCCAAACCATGAAGCATTAATCATCCACGAAATTAAATCAGTCTAATGAAGCTGCACAAAATACAATAGCCCATGGGACATCTTGATCGCAGTTCAATTATTTAATTAAGTGTCGAAATTCGATTCTTTTTTTTAATTTATTTTCTTTGCATTTATCGTAATGCAATAGTTGACACTGCAAGAGAAAAGATACATATAAAGCAACTCAATCCCCTAATTATCATTCAACACACTTTCTAAATGGTAAAAAGGGCCAAAAAGTGATTTACTTACGGATGCTTTGTCATATGTACTATGCCCCACACCGACAGCAATAACAGGCATACCCTGATAAACACAGAAACCACCTTCAGTTGAATTAATACAATTGCAATTCTGTATTGAGCAGTACCAGAAGCCAAATGCACCCAGAGGATATAGATGAAGGTAGTTTACCTCTTTTGAGTAGCCTGAAAGTCCTACAAGCTGAGTGTCACGCACTTTTCGGTACAGCTCCGCAGGAACTATTGGTTTCTGGGCAAATGAAATTACTGGATTAGAATGTTAGATCATACATACAGGCTCCTCATGATAATCCACCCCTCATATAAAGACTCAAACTTCCTAAAAGACATTAGTGAATAGTGATAATATCATCAAGACTAGTGAGTTGTATGACCTGTCTCCGGAATGTAACTAAAGCAGTGATCATTAGTTGCACTTACTGTAAGTATATTGTCAATATCATTTTGCACCCTCCAATTTAAGCTGTCAACCAACTGCAGAAACTCATTAATGTCAGATAAAACTTCAATTTAGTGTGTAGTCTAAAGGAAATCTAGAATGTATTTAGCAGTTTCAACTGAAATCAATCTTGATTACCATTTTCTGTGCCTTCTCGACATTCCAATCCCTAGCTCTGAGAAACCTCATATATGTATCAGTAGGGTACCCTTGATGCATATTCTGAAATACAGCACGGAAAATAGGGCCGTTAATTTATAATCAATGCTAGTCCAAAAAGATATAAGAAAAATAAGCTTAACCAGTGCAAATTTTTTTTTTTAAAAAAAAAAAAAAAAAAGAACTACCTGCTAGATCAAGCATAAATCCACAACACCAACTCATGCTAAATGCAAGTAATAACCAATAAACAAATTAAAGATGAATCACAACTCAGTCATTTCATTGTTAGCAAGCCAAGAATCATCGAAAATTCCAGCAGCAAACTCGATAAAATCATCACCACAAGTCCACAACCATCAACAGTTTAAAAAAAAAAAAAGGATTGGAATTTACGACTACATCTAACTTTAGTGGCAGAAAATTTCATCAAAATCCGAAAGACAGCAGCCTCACAAACGGATCTAGTGGTGTACATGGAGAACTGGCCATAAATGATTCTTTGATCAACCATATAATGATAATAGTTTACCAGATTAAATCTTTTGGATCAAAGAGACATCATTTCACAGTGTCGGTGCTCCAACATAATTCAATCACAAAGACAAGATTCTTACTCAAATTAGCTACTATTACACTCAATTAGCAAATTGTAAAGATCAGAATTAGTCAAATTTAGTGACTCATTGACCAAATTGAATCAGACCATTAAACCAAACAATCAATAAAAATAACATTAAATCACAAAATCAGAAGATAATAAATCCAAATCAGTAACCCAACAAATTTAACTAAGATGAAAATCAGATCAAAATAACCCCAATTACACTCAAAAATAAAAAGTAAAATCTGAGATTAAATTATAAATAACAGAACCAGTTAAACTAACCTGGAAAGTCTTCTTCAGTGATTCATCAACTGCAATAAAAATGCCACATTTGAAGAGATTACGAAGTGTAAATCAAAGATCAGAACTTTTTAACTTCGCTTTCAAAAGAAACAAAAATCCCAAAGAAAAAAAAAATAAAAAAAATTGGGGGTGAAAATAAAATTAAAAATGAAAAATAAAAATTACTAACCTCCTTCCATCAAAGTTTCAAACTTTTTGATAGCATCTTCATTAGCAATACCCATTTCGATTTCACTGGAAAAAATTGTGAAGTGGGTCCTCTTAAAAATGAATTGGGATCCTTAATAAGAAAAAACCCCTTTTTTTTTAATGTTGTTGAGGAGAGAGAAAGAGAAAAGGAGGAATGAAACTGAGTTTGAAATTCACACCCACCCTGACTGGACTGTCCTCTCTGCAATCTGGAATTTGCTCCTCTCCTTTTATGATGATAGAAGAGTGAAATCACAGCGCTTTCTTTCTCTCTCTATCTATTTCTCTTTCTCTCACTAAAATTATTTATAATATTAGTACTATAATTATTGAATGTTGACAAGATTTTTCACCATTAAAATCAAAGTTTAAATACTGTATGTAACAGCAATTATACTGCTTAGAAAAAAGAAAGATTACTTTTTAAAATAAAAATAATAACATCTGTCTAAAAAATACATGTATCAATGTATGGTATAGAAAGATTATTACCTCATGTATTTAATGTAGGGCCTATTTGATGATTATTCAAGCATTTACTTGTAATTTCTTTTTTTATTTTTACAATTTTGGAATATCCTTATCTTTATCTCCGTTCCATGAATTTCTTCTCATTTGTCTCGAAAGCAATCAATATTTTGACCCAAATTAAATTTCTAAAAAGTTGATATTATAAAAAATTTGTCTTGAATCAAATCTTTGGTAACAAAGTTTCACTTGATAATGTTTTGCATTTGTTTATGATATTTCTTACCTCATTTTTTTCCATTTAATAATTTTGGCACCTTCATCTTATTCCATCTTTCACACCCCCCCCCCCTTTTTTTTAATAACGATACCCTCTATTACCCCTCACATATCATATTACACGTTTATTTACTTTTTTTTTTACTTATTTTATAGGAAACTAAAAGACACTCAACCTAGCAAATCGGAACATTTTGGTCAAATCAATCCGATTTATTACATTATATTTATATATATATATATATGATATTAATAAACAAAAATCAATAAAGATTGGACTGAATCATTATTTTATGCATAGTTATAAACATGGAAGATCAAATAAGGTGATTTCATAAAATATCAATATACAAGAGTATTATAATGTTAAAAAAGGTAATTTTTATAAAGATAAAAAGCACGCATTAGTATGCCCTCCTCATGAGGGTAAATTATACAAGTTGTATTAGGAATAGAAATAAAGCAAGGCTTAATTTCCTTCGTTATCTAAGGACTATTCTACTTTATTTTGTCTATATTTGACTTTTGACCATAGCCATAGCTAAAAACGTAGCACTTGGTAAATAAAATCAGCTATAATTTTCTTACTAAAGCAGCTTGCACATTAAGGGTCTGTTCCGATTGACTGAACTCAGCTGAACTGAACTGAACTGAACTGAATTGAACCGAGCTGAACTGAACTGAACTGAACTGAACTTATTAATTAGTGATTTTTAACTACGGATTAGTGATCTTTGATTATTTATTGATATTTATTACTATACATATGTGTATATACAAATGTACATATTAAAATATTTACGAAAAATATACTATATAATTATAATTATAAAATGTATGGAAAATATATTATAAAATGTATGGAAAATATATTAAAAACTTGAAACCTCTAATTTTCTCAATGAGATTAACATTAGAAATATGTTTCAAAAAAATAGAACCATTTGAACAATGAATTGTATCAATATTATTATTGTTATTATTATTATTATTAATTATTGATAATTATTATTATTATTTATTGATTATTATTATTAGTATTATTATAGTATTATTATTATTATTGTTATTATTATTATTATTATTTATTGATGATTATTATTATTTATTGATTATTATTGTTAGTATTATTATTTCAATTATTATTGTTATTATTATTATTGTTAATATTATTATTATTATTATTTTTATATACTATTTATTATTATTATTTTTGTTGTTGTTGTCGTTGTAATAAGATCTTAAAAGAATGAAATTTGGCTTTATATCATTAGCAATATCATTAGACATAAATTAAGAGCTGAACTGAACTGAACTGAACTGAACTGAACTGAACTGAGCTGAACTGAACTGAGCTGAACTGAACTGAGCTGAACTGAACTGAACTGAACTGAACTGAATTTCAACGGAACAGAACAGGCCCTAAATCCACATTTTTTTTCTTTTCCTTTTTGAGACAAAGGTTTGTTTGGTTGAATTATTATGTGTCTTATGTCAAACCACTTTGGATAGGTTTGTAATAGCCGACACATACGTACATGAAATGTCTATATACTCCAAATTGAATTAGCAATTAGTACTTACAAAATTATCAGAGTTAGTTGATTAAAGTATTAAAGGAGGTATTTAAGATTAGAATCTAGTTTTTATATACGTATAACATTTTTATTTTTTCGTATGAAACTCTCTAAATTAAAAATATGTACGTAATAAAATAAATTTACTTTTATCCTTTAGTAGCATAAAAGGCATATGCTGATATGCATGTATATTAGGGCTGTTCAATTTCGGATATTCGATCCGATCCGATCCGAAAATTCAGATATCCAAAATTTTCGGATCGGAGAAATTGCGATCCGAATCCGATCCGAAATTTTCAGATATCCGGATTTTCGGATCGGATAGTCGGGTTTTCGGATCGGGTAGTTAAAATTTTCGGACAAAATCCGATCCGTATCCGATCCGAAAATCCGAAATTTTTTCGGATATCCGATCCGAAATATCCGAAACCTTAAAAATCGGATCGGATATCCGAAATTTCGGATCGGATATTTCGGACCGGATATTTTTGAACACCCCTAATGTATATGATGTATTTAAGTTAGCATTAACACATATAATTGTAATTGCAAGATATATAATATAGGGTTTTATTGCAAATTTTGAAATCAATTATATTATATTCAGTCTCCCTTTGTAAATTAATGCTTACTTTTGGACAATCATGATAATGTTGATCATTTTCTTTTTGATGTTATCAGGCATAACGAAATTTCCCAAGAGATTTTTCTGTCTTTTAGCTAATAAATAGTAAAGGAAATTCCACCCAAAAAATATATATATACATAGTAAAGGAAAGAGCCAAAAGTTAGTTACGTAACTACATATATGTACATATTACAGACTTCTCTCTCGACTCTCGAGTCTCCCATAAAAATGTTTAATTTTCATTTTCTAAAATAACAAATTTGAGTTATTATACAACTCCATTCATTTGGAATTGAAAATTTTACAACATTTGATTTTTATAGGTCAAATATTGTGAACTACGATCACATTTTTAAACTAATAATCCGTGTGTAAATAGTTAATTACAAATATTATCAATTTAAATGAAAATTACTTAGGATAACATAACAAAATTTCAACTTTTTTTTTATTAATAAATAGCGAATTGTTTTAATTATTGTTAAAGTGACATCTCATATAAAAACACAATAATCACTTAAAGTTAAATCACTCAAATATAGCGCATAGTGCTTTACTAGAAATGAATGGATTATAAAAGTGGAAAGAAGAGGGTTAAAAATCAAAGATGACGAAGCTTTCATTGATTTTTAATATTCAATTCATTCTTAAATCCATGAACTTTCACACGTAGATAAGTAAAAATTTTTTTTTAAGGACTATCCTATAATAGTATAATAAAATAGAGGGGTCCCAACTCCAAAAAAAAAGAGTTCCAATTATTTGGTGTGTAAACCGTGAAATTTACTTCGTAGAAGTATATATTATATAGTCAATGTTTCAGAATGATGAGGAGTTGTTAAAGTTTGGTAGCAATTTCAAACATGCATATAATGCACATGTATACAAGTTGGTAGAAGAACTTAATCTTTAACCTACCACATTAACCTCTTTTCTAATTAATTAATTATTTGATTTCATGGTAAAACAATTGACGTTTTATGTGAAATATGAAGCTAATTACCACCAACTTTCTTGCAAAAAAATGTAGATTGTACATCATCTTTATGTGAGATGATTTACAGCAGTAGATAGATGGTAAATTTAAATTAGCTATAATTACCCTTTAACTTGATAGATAGGTAATAATTAGTCGTGTCAATTTTCTACTAAAGAAAGTATTTTATTTAGATAGCCTATATAGATAGGTAATACTACCATTATGTATATTTAGATAATGCATTACGATCATATGTGTAATTGTGTTTATTTAAAGCTAGATTAGAATACAACTAACAAACTCTGACAAAAAACAAAAAAGAATTGAATACAATTAACAAATATATACATGTCATCAATGATGATTAATAAGAGTTTTTTTTTAACAAGGTACGGATGTATTGTTTATACTATATACTTGTATAATATCTGTTATAGAGTTTCATACATCGCCAAGAAAGGAGTTGCATGCTTCATTCTTAATTTAATTTAATTATTGTTGCATGCAAGTTCAGTTGATAGCAAAATTAATACTCTTCCATTTTCTATTATACGAATTTTTTAATATATATATATATATATATATATATATATATATATATATATATATATATCATATAACTAATATATAAAGCTAAACTTTTAGCCAGGTCACGACGTTGTCACTACTAGAAATAGGCAAAATAGCGATGGTTTACTTCCGACGGACGGTTTTTCCGTCGCAAAATTCAAAAATTACGACGGATTTTTTTCCCTCGCAACTTTACGACGGATTTAAATATCTACGACGAAAATTCCGTAGTAATCTTGCGACGGAATTTTTTTCCCTCGTAATTTTCTTTTTACGACTGAATATTTCGTCGAAAATATGTTTGCGACGGAATATTCCGTCGTAAAATGAAAATTACAAGGGAAAAAAATTCCGTCGCAAGATTATACGTTTTTTTAAAAAATACCCAAATTGGACTAAACCTAAAAAATCGAATTGGAAACAGAAGAAAGAGAAGGAGAGAGAAAGAGAGAGGGAAAGAGAAAAAGGGGCATCCGTCGCCGGCCGTCCCGATTCCGGCGCCGGTCTTCACCAATCTGCCGCCGACGAAGACCAAAACGAAAGGAGGACGAAAAGGAGAAAGAGGACGAAAAGGAGAAAGCGAAAGAGGACGAAAAGGAGAAAGAGAAAGAGGTCGAGCCTCCGTTTTCCGGCGACCATCCGTTGACGCTTCTGGTTGTTGCCGGCGCCACGTCTAGGTAAGTTGTTTTTGTTTTTTGTTGTTTTTTTTTATTCGGTTTTTTTTACAACACATTCATATCTGCAGCCTTCCTTGACACCACAACCGCAGCCTCCCTTGACCACCGCAGCCTCCGGCCTCCTCCCTTCCCTCGCCGTGGCTGAAGCAGTTGGTAAGTTGTCCT